ACCCGATGCACCACTTTAACAAGGCATAAATTTTTTCAAGCGTGGATGTATTGAATAAATGTGTGTTTTATAGGTTTAACACACATTATTGGATATAATAGAAGCAATTTGTAAAAACGAAATGTAGCCATCAAATTGCTTACTATAATGATAAAACAAGGGATATAACTACTTGAAATGTAGCCCAAATGAAAGTACTTAGATAGCTAAAAATTGAAAATTACCTTAGTATGTTTCTATTCCTCCAGGCCATGAAATACTCAACCACTTGTTTCTATTCCTCCAGGCCATGAAATACTCAACCACTTGAGCATTGGTGGCCCTTTTCATTTCTTCCTTCTCCACATAACAAATAATATCATCACTCAAACTTTCATCATTGAGGCGATTGCCCTGATCATACTGAATCTCCTCTTCCCAATTTATGTCTTCTGGCTGTGATGGTGCATTTCTTTTGAGAAGAAACTTGTCCATAGTATCTGTATTTGACAAATATAAATTATAAATGAGACATGGAGAATTGTATAGGCAAATAAAATATAGTGATTTACTATATTCACTACAAGTCTATACATGATTGTTGAAGTTCAACAAAACTAGGAAAAGCAAGACAAAGGCCCTACCACAATTGTGGCCTTTTGTAATTTATCATCTATGGCGGACACAGAGACGAACATTCAAGATTGGAATTTGAAAAGGATGCGAAATTACCGAGCACCGGACGGCGTGCAACGTTGCTCGTGCGCGTCGCTTCGTCACCGTGTGAGGACCCAGGCTGCATGGAGGCCGGCGGCCGGTGCGCTGCCGCTGCCCCCTCCGGCGGCTGTGTGGGACGGCGACGCGCAGGGGGCGTATGGAGTATGGTAGGCTGGGTTCGTACGCGTCATGCACAAATCGATCGATGGATCGATTAGTTTTTTTCTAGTGAAAAAAAAGATGGATCGATTAGGTTTGCGTACGTGACTACGTGAAGAGATTCTCTTTTTTTTCATAGACAAAAACTACGTGAGGAGATGGTGGATGCGCAAGCGAACCGTCGTGCGTGCGTGTACTGCTGCGTTGGGCCAGTCCGGAGGCGTCGGAGTGGCTGGAACGGGCTGACCCTGATGCACAGCTCTTGGGCCACCCTGATGCACTCGGCCTTTTTAACTAATAGGCACTGCTAGGGAATTTTTTCACCCGTATTCCTGTGCATACAGGTCAGCCCAATGGGCTCCGCCCCTGGGTGGGATTGAGTCTCCAAGCTGCCTTCTTTTCCTTGTTGTAAAGTGTTCACAACCTATAAGGAAAATGATGAGCATGCAACAAAAGCTGAATGGAAAAGCTGCAACTTGGAGCTATTCCACATGAAGTTTATCTGAGCATGCAACAAAGCTGCAACTTGAAAAATGGAAAAGATTATGTTGAACTGATCACTCTAGAGAGGATATACATAATGACTCTTCAGATTTTGAATATGTCCAGGGTCAACGCAGAAAATAATATCATGATCAAAAGAGGACAGATGATGACGCTTGTGTTCAGTCGTTTATAGCCAATAGAGGAGACAGAGAGAGAGAGAGAGAGGAGAGAGAGAATGCATGA